ATCAGGAGGAGCACCCAGAACAACACCAGACTGCCGCCATCCTGTGTGCTGAACAGGTACCTCACAACGATCGCGCAGGGGCAAGGTTCAAACAACCAGGCCATGCCCTTTAATCAATGGAGGATGCCAAAAGCTGAGTGCTTGAACTTGTCGCAACTGGTGGCTCAACCCTGTGGGGCCCGTGGGCTGTTCGTCTTTTTGGGCTTGAAGGGCTGAAACAGTTGACCATGCCGAGCAGCATGGGAATTGGAATCCTGAATCGTCGATCGAAGGCACCGTGCTTCATGTCGTCGTACAACATTTTGATCTGACCTCAGACGGCTCAGTCCCCACCCCGCACCCCAAATCCCTACCCCTAAACCTACCCGTGAACCCACCCTAAACTCAGTGGCGGGTGGCTGTACAGAATTCGGCACATGCTCCCCAGGTAGATGAAGATGCGGCACACAAAGGTAGCTATGCGCTCGCCTTCGGTGCCATCCTTGCGCCCCAAAATGGCCTGGCCGATGATGAAGACCTCAGCAACCGCTTGCTTTTGGGCGTGGCCGATTCTTTCACAATTCACAAACAGAATTGTTGTTGTCAAATCAACTAGTAACAAGAGGTTGCAACAAGTGGGTCTGCTTTCAGTTGGTACCTTTTTCAGATTTGTTTAAAGGGCAACACAAAGGACAACCACAATATTAGGTCGCCCTGCTTTGACACATACCCTTTTGCGTAGGGAGCAACTTGGTCGAACAGCCAGGCCACACACAAGGAGAAGAGGAAGTAGCACCTGCTCAGCAAGAAGTTGTACCTTGGCTCAGCCCAGCAACGGCATCCGTGCCCAGCAAAAAGAAACATGGCGCGAGATCGATCGGCGCCAGGGTGCTGGGCCAAACGGGACCACAAGAGATCCGAGAAAATGACCACGCAAGGGTGGCAAATGACCTTTGGATCCCCACGCTCCACCAGCCACTCAAGAGCCATGTTGAACTTCCCCTCCTGGTCCTTCCGAGGATGGCGGATGGCAAACGTCTAAGCAACGAGGCCAAACTGTGAACACACGACGACACATCCAGTCCTGAACCATATTCTGCACCTGGGCGCAAGCCCCCCCAGGCCCTGAACCTCATAGCCTCCGGCTCCCCCCTCTCATGTCCGGCACGCTTTTCTGCCGAACCCACAATCAAACCCCGACTTTGGAACCGAAGTGCATCGACTCAAAGTCTCGAAATGGGTTTAATAAAAGTGGATCCTGTAAGCTCAAGCGTGAATCCCCTTACTACTGATGGGTGGGGTGGGGTGGCGGAGTCTGGGAAAAAGGCCCCCTTTTCTTGTTTTGATTGATTAGAACGAGAAACCCGCTGCAAAAACGGTGCCAAGGGAACCCCCTAGGAAAAGGGAAGAATGGCAGCAAGCCGCAGGCTTTCCCCCAATTCCCCAATATGTTTCCGGGGCGCGTAGTAGTTCACCCGGCGTCTGCCGAGAAAGGCCTGGCGCGAGCGCCACACCAGGCCGTCCAGCAGAGACCATAGCAGGTGGGGCGCCGAGTTGCCTCGGGGAGTTGGGAGTCGCTCGAAAAATGTGCGAGCCATGGGTCCACGATTCTTCAAGAAGCCTCCCAAACCTGCCTGGCCGGGCCCGAAGCTTGAGATCCGAAATACAGAAACTGAGGGACCATGAATGCATGAAGCAACCCTGTGGGCCGGTCTAGGGGAACCCTAGGCTTGGAACGGAAACCAGAGGCCCGGAGAAATTGTTTACAAACACAGTGAGAACAATCCGAACACTCCGAATGGGACGCGGGTTGCATTGAGGTTAACAGTACTTGCCTTCATCCTTTTTGAGGGGAACCCTTTCTTGCGCGGACCGAAGGCAACCTCCCATTTTTGGGGCCCGCGGGTTCACGAAAGCTTTCTGTTCAAGGGATCTTCTTTTGCGAGACCCCAGCTTTGGCTCCCATGTCCAAAGTTGGTGCAGTTTTTGGTAGGTTCCAGTGCACTAGCAGAAACAAAGGGAAAACGGGGAAGCGTGAAGGAGTGAATGAATGAATCCATGAATGAATCAATCAATCAATCAATCAATCAATCAATCAATCAATCAAATCAAATCAAATCAAATCAAATCAAATCAATTCAAATCAATCAATCAATCAATCAATCAATCAATCAATCAATCAATCAATCAATCAATCAAATCAAATCAAATCAAATCAAATCAATCAATCAATCAATCAATCAATCAATCAATCAATCAATCAATCAATCAATCAATCAATCAATCAATCAAACAATCAATCGAGCAATCAATCAATCAATGAACAAACTTTAGAACGAATGAATGCATGCGTGCATGCATGCATGCATGAATAAATTCTGCACGGCCGAACGAATGAATGAATGTTTGCATGCATGCATGCATGCATGCATGCATGCATGCATGCATGCATGCATGCATGCATGAACCAATGAGCGAATGAACAAACGAATGAATGCATGAATGCGTGAATCAAAGAGTGACGTTTCAGCCAGGAACCAATGGAGCATTGGAGAATCGGCGCCTTTGAGGACAGCTTGTTGGGAAGAAAATGACGATTCAAGGAGACATCGAAACACCTCGCTTGCTGCTGAACAGGTTGCATCTAGCCCCGACGGCGTGATCCCCGCATGCGCAACCACGGAACTTACTTCATGCAAACCAAACCGAGCCACAAAGCCGCTGGATGACCTCCGGGTGTCGCGTGAAGAGAGGGTCCGCACCATAGTAGTAGCTCTCTCCTTGAATGAACACAGATTACCAGCAAACCTTTGCATAGATCAGTGAGAGCACAACTGGGTGCGTCTTTTTCGAAAGTACCTGTTTTGAACTGTGTTCTGAAGGGAATCCAAACGGAAAGCATCCAGGGGGTTCCCCTTTAAGACAATCTCAAGCTGCTTCTGCATGTTTATTCCGTCCGCCTGTCTTCACGTGCCAGGACCTGCCTTTGAGTTCCATGCCCCAAACAGGAGCCAATATCCCGTAGGAAAGCCAAGCAACAAGAGAAGACGTAGCAAGCAACACACAGCAAAACAAAACGCAGCCAGCCAACAAACTAAACCGCAGAACCACCAGGTTGTCATTTTCATGGGGTTTGAGTGTTTCTTGCCGCGCATCGGTCTGCGCGGATGGTGAACAAATCCTCGATCATCGCCTTGGCGCACTCGTGGGAGCCGCTGTCGATGGCCCAGTAGAAGGGCGAGATGGACTGGGTGCCCACCGTGATGTTCAGCAGCTCCATGGCTCTCCTGGGTCAACAAAAAGCTTCGCTTGCTGCCCCCTGCTGCCTCACCAAGGAGTGCAGTTTGAGACCTAAAGTTCAAGACCTCGTGCAACAGCCAACTATGTCCTGAGGAGTCAGAGTCAAGATCTGGCAAAGTGGGCTACCCAAAACCCATGCAAAAGAGCCGCAAGGGCGGATAGCTTCACCCTGCTGCACCCATTTCTGGTTGGGGTGGTTCCTTACCCTTCATCCACTCAAAGTTACACCAGGGCAAAAGTAGATGGCATTTTTTAACTGATGTGGGTAAAGGGATGACTAAACCACACATTTGGAGATGCTGCCACTTCACTCAGCTGGGGCTACGCGTCCAACTCATCCAAGAGTCTTGCTCCGGGGTGCGATGGCGATGGCCTTCCTTAGCGCCCTCGCCGAGTTCGTGTTGATGGCCTTCATGACCTAATTCTTGGCGTTGGGGAAAGATTACCGCAAAAACATGGAACCAGAAAAGGGGGCACCTGGAGAAAAATTGGTCTTCCAGGGAAGCTCTTTTGCATGATGGTTTTCGAACAAATGAGTGGCAATCTTCAACTGGCTGGTTCACGGAGGGGGTGTTGGAAGACTACAATCCTAAAAAAAAAACACGATTTACCGCCCAGATTTTTGGAAAGAGAGAAAACGTTCTCGGCTTCCCAGCAAACCAAGGGCCATGCGCAAAAACTGTGAGGCCCCAGCGATGGTGCTTCCTTCCAAGATGGTTCGCACCAAGATCTTTGAGATCAGAGTCCTGGGCAAGCACCACGTCTAGGCCAATCAGCCCCGACCCAACAAGACCAATCCTCGAAACCTACTCAAGCCCTGCAACTCCTACCCAGCAAAACCCAAGCGGAAAATAACATCTCCAAGCAAATGGTGTGCAAAAAACTGCTTTGTCAGCTCTCCAAGCACGTACCTCAGCCGTGGAACTCGCTCAAGGCGTCATCCCTCGCATTGTCCCACGGTGCAAGCTAGGGCACAATATATATATATATATATATTATATTCTTTAAAAAAAAAGGGGGGAACAAAAACAAAAAAACTCCGACATGTGGACGTGAGCCCTTGAAATCAGCCGCTCCCCTCATTTGTTGCTTTTTTTGATGGCCTGTCTTGGCCAAGCGTCAGGGACCAGCGGAAGGCCCCCTCGGCCACATCGTCCGTGGTGATGCCCCGCACCACCTGAGTGAGTCAACCCCTCGCAAGTAAGCCCGCAAGCCATGAACAACAGGTTCCCTCCCTAAAAAGTATCAAACTGCAATGCCAAGCCGGGAAAGGAGAACGGTGTTGTCCATACAGCACAGTCAATGCAGGCAATGTCGACTGGTGACCGAATTGGGACGCCAAATTGTGACCGTCGTGCCGTCTGCCGCGAAACTTCGAATGCACTCTGCCCCCCCGGTTGGTACAGCGCAAGCTCCAGATCCAGCACAGACACAATTTGACCAAGACCAAACCAACGGCAGCCGCCATCCACCACTGCGGGCTCTCTGGACTTCTACCCCGTTTGGGGATTGCTTTCTGGGCACCACTCCAAACAAAGAAGAACAAAACGCATCCCACGGCTCCTCCCTGGATCTCAACATCCCCAACCCACCTCCACCGCGCAGGACACGAAGGGCGCGAAGAGCTCGGTGGGGATGGCGTAGCCCACGTGGCGCAGGCCCAGCGCGGAGATGTCCTGCGGACCCCAAAAAGTCCCAAGTGGCTGCCTTTTCCGGCCTGGCAATCATGGACCTGGACATGTGTTTTACTTGGCCAAAGAGTATGTTGGAGGACTCCCTTCAGGGAAGAGTCTCGCACAAGGGACTGGCAAATGCTCCGTGCTCTGATTGACATTGAACAGAGGGTCCTTGCTACCATTTACAGGTGGGTCGTGGACACCTCTTGGGTCTTGTTCAAAGGAAACCACCCATGTTGATATTCCCCTCTTCATTCCTGCAAATGGCTGGCGTGTTGGGCTTACTACCGGCTGACTGGAGGTCGCTGGGAGACGATTCTCACTCACGACGCATTCAGCAGGTGGATTGAGCACACTTCATGAATCAGCTTAAAATTGTCTTGGAACAGCTACGTCTCCTTGGGGAAGTTATGGGGCAAGATTTCAGAACGCTGCGACCGCCAGTTCTTCGGGCAACCGGATCGGCCGGATCCTCTACCATCACGCGTGGTTGCTGGTACATCTCCATTGTCATTTCGATGATCTTGTCTGCAATGAAATAGAGCCGGGTGGTCGACTGCTTGAAGTGATCCTGCCCTGCTGGCGCAGCCTGAAAGAACCTTCAGGGCGCACCAAGAATGAATACTCAGCTGGGTTTCGCTTTTTTGGTTAACGTAGTCTGAAAAGCCAGCCCTCGGTTTAAGCCTCTCTTTGAGGAAATCAAAAAGTGGAGCTCTGCTATGCCCTGCTCTCAAATGCCAAACCTACGGCTGAGAACAGCAAACGACAACCGTATGCGCGGTCAGGGTCCCAGGGAGGGAGAAGATGTGATCATCAGCAGAGACAACATTGGAGTCCGATAGCTCAAAATGCACTGACAACCTCTGAGGAGCGGCCTTCAGAGAGGTTCCTGCTCATGATGAGCCAGCATTCCCTTCCACCATTCATGCCCGCGTGCCCTCAAAACCGCGAAAAAGCTAAGACCCCCGGAAGCCTGGGCTTCATTTGCCTCCTCTTTTGGCCCAGCCCCAACCCCCGGAGCCCCGCTTCTGGTAGATGGATTTCCGGAGCCCGTAGATATCGTCGGCCGACAGGCTCGCGATGAGGCGGCTCAGAGCCTTCTCCTGCGCCGCCGGCTTCCCCAGATTCACCTGGATCATTCGCTCCACGTTCCTCGGATGCCCGGCCTTTCTTGGGCTCGACTTTGAAAGCAGATACAGGCACTAAAAAGGGCGGTTGCCCCTGAGCCCCGAGTTTCAAGCATGATATGCGTCAAAACTGGGGACCCCCGCTTTTAACATACCGCTTCAGCTGGCAAGCTTCTTTTTGTTGCTAGGTTGTTTCATGCTTCTAGAAAAGCCTTCAGCCTTCAACCTTTCTTTCAGGCCAGTCAACTGAACAATTCACGAAAGGAGCACCCAGTTGTTCAATGGCACCAATTATCTTCCCCTTTTGTAGCGTCAAGCCCACGAAGCTCATCCAGCAGGGTCACCGGGCTGGGAAAATGACACCAACCCTCTCCTTCGAATACCCACTTTGTTTAGATGGCATTTCTTCTGAAATTCGCTTTTCTTTGGTTGTGACTGAAAAGGGAAACACTTGTAGCGGCAATCAGGGGCCTTCGAGGCAGCTCCACTCGATGAGTGAGAGAAAAGTCACATCAATTTAAATATGATGGGGTGGCAACCCAGCTAGAAAGTTAATGTCACTTGTAAATCATATATGGGAAATGCAATCCACCTGCGTGATACTGGGGAACGGCCTTTAATGTCTTCTTTGCTGGAGGGCAACGCTAGCCTGCTAATTGTGGGCACCAAGGGCTGCTCCTAGACAATTTGTTACCAACAAGCCTGAGATCAAAATCCCGGTGGGAGGGGGGGGGGGGTTGGGGGGACTGCGCCCCCCTCTGCAGAGGCGCTCCCAGAGCCAGTTCCAGGCCACCTCATGCTCCGAGTCCCACTCCTTGGGCACCAGCGAGCGCAAAGACGCCAGCATCACCGCCTGCGAGCGCCCGGCGCAGCCGGCTCGCAGGCCACTTGGACAGCACCCCATTTAGAGCAATTCTTTACCCAAAATACGTGGAGGGATCTATGGGCGGGGGGCCATCCTGAACAAGCTTAGGGCAAGCCAAGGCGCCCCTACCCCCCCTACTAAGGCCACACCCCTACCCAGGTTTGATATACATGATAGTCCCCCCAAAACGTGGGCTTTGCTTATTTGTTCGCCTTGAACTCCGAGAGGTGGATCGTACTCTGCTGCTTGTCCAGCACCAGCGCCAGCACGTCGCACTCCTCCTGAAGGCGGTAGGAGTTGGCCACGTTGGTGACGATGTTGTGAAATTGCTCCAAGATCACCTTAGTGACTGTCCACCGGGTAAGCATGAGTCACACACACACACACTTGCTTTTGGTAGTCCAGCTCTGAGGCTCTCCACCTTACAGCCATGAGGCTATGTCACCCTACCAAAGACACTCACTTGAAACTGGCCTCTGATCAAACCGCCAATAGGCGACTGCCTGCATTCGTTTGTTTGCCCAGAACATTGAGTTGCCATCATGCACCCGGTCATTCATCTACGTGTGAATGCGCTGGCAAACAAAAAACGACTCAATGCGCACATTCTTAGCTGGAGTGCATTTACACATGAATGTGTGTGTACGCATTTGCACATCTAGAAACAAGAAGATATGTCGTGGATCGTGGATTGCTATGCTGTGTGCGTTTTTTCTCTACCTGCATTTGGGCAACGTCCCCTCGCGTAGCTTACCATCCTGGACAGTCGCTCTTTGGCTATCCCATCCGCAATGAGACCCCAAACGCCTTGGCCACTCCTCACTTTCCTGCCTAGGACCAAGTCCGACCTAGGGCAGAGGCAACCGAGTGGCGCTCATCCAGCTGCTGTCGCCGAGGCCCATGACAGCAGCGTTGAACAGGAACATCTCGTTGAAGCTTGTGGGCACCTGCACAGAACTTCACACTCGGTTGCTTTCACTGCAAACAAAGTACTGTAATTACGCAACCTGAATCGAGGGATCCCCAAGCAATGGATCTGTATCATGGTGAGCTCGCTATATCGCTATGCCCCCGATGAGAGCTCGCTATAAAATACGCCATTTGAACCGGCCAAAGTCTTTCCCTCACGTAGCCTGCAAGTCTGGCAGGCTTGGATGGGCCTACGTGGCAACGGAACCTGAGCTACGCTATAGCTCCATCCAAGTCTTGCCGTCCTCTGCCCTACAGCCCTGGATCTCTGTCTTGAGAGAGGAGAAGCCATGGGAGAGGTGAGATGACCTCACATTCCTCGTCCATCATTTTCCGTCGCTTCTGTCCATGACCTGTCTGCCAAGTGTACAATTTTAGGAACGGCATGGTGTATGGCCCGTCTCTTGGTGAGTCCCCGTCACTTTATCAGAAGCTGCCGGCGAGCATGTTAAGAGCTTGTGGTGAAGTCGCGAGTGACGAATATAAAATCCTCGGCCGTCGGCAGCTAAACTCTTGTCTTAGCCACTGTGAGAGACGAGAAATGTTTGACCTTTAATCTCATATGTCATCCCATCTCTTTGCTTCTCGCCATCCGACCTCAGCAACGAAACGAGAAGAAAAAGAGAAACGGTTGGCACTGAGAGAGGAATCCACAGCCCATTCTCGCCAAAATTATTGTGGAATCGCGCTTCCAGTCACGCGTTCCCGGGTTGGGGACGCGCGCCTTCATCGCCGTCTTCCCTGTCTTGGCATTCACGTCTTTGTCTTTGGCCCCTTCGCCGGTAGTCGTCGCGGCCTTGGCCGCCACGTTCTTCTGTGAACCCGCCTGGCCGCCCATGAGCATTAGCTCTGCCACTTCCCACCACCCAGGGCATCCCAGGTACCACAAAGATTGCTATTCAGCGGAGCCTTCCCTCTAGTGGTTGAAGTGTGATGGTTCACGATGTCTCACTCCTCTTGCCAGCCAATCCCCTTAAAAACCAGGCGCAAAATTGCGAAGTTCAGCTCACTTTTTCCCAGCCTGCGTCCAGCCCGACTCCCCTGCCTGTGCCGCATCTGGCTTGTCCTTATCAGCCTTATCAGCTTCGGCGCCTTCGTGTTCGTCCGACTCCAGGGAGGCTTTCTTTGGAGCCTTGTCCTCCTGGCAGGCTGGGCGATACCCCATGTGTTCACACGAGGCATTGCTGTAGCCACCACAAGGCCAACTAGTAGAATCGCCGACCAAAACCGCCGATGGAGGTTTGGGGCGCTGCTGACATCTTTAAGCCACCATTGCTTAAACAGCCTCCTCTGCGCTTCCCTTCAAAGGGCACCTCGAAAACCGGTTGGCTTCGGTACTCCCCACAGCTGCATGGCCAGGACTGCTCCTGTTCCGTTTGCACTGCCGCAGTGCACTTCCTGGTTTTGGGAATGAACCTAGGGATCCAACTAGTGGAAACACACTTGAGGGATGGTAGGGCGATCATTCCCTCCCCTGCTGAAAACCGGCGAGTGCAGCAGGATCAAAACAAGGGCTTCCCCACCCAGACGTGTTTTCGGATTCTCCAGTGCTTTCGATCTGTTTCACTTCTAATTGACGCCTCTCAACGCATAGTTCTCATGCGCTTTATGCCTGTGCCAACGCCAGCCTCGCTCTCGTCTGACTTGTTGGCCGTCTTCCAGCTCCGTTGTATGATTCTGATGCGGGAGGCATACTCACGGCGGATGTAGATGTAGGCCCCACCAGAGTAGTTCAGAATTGCCTGCACGCACACGGCAAGTCCTTGCCTGGCCTGTCCAAATTGAACAAAAACTTGCGGGCCTGACTACCGCAAGCATCTGCCCTCACCCGTCGGCAAATGGCCAGTCCCCTCCGGCCAGTTGCAAAGGTGTGGGAGCATTTTGGGGTTCCAATCACTCCCCCTCCGAAGGTCCGGGGGATCCCAGTCACCACTATACTGTAGTACGCATCCACGGGATTTCCAACCTGAGCCCTTTCATGGTGGCGTTACGTTGCCTTGCCATCATACCCAGAAACGGAATCCGTGGGATAGCCGTGGCCAGAAGCCCTGCCATTCGAAGCACGGAGCCTGCAAGCCGACCTTGGCCTTGGAGGTGAATCGCTGGCCCATCTCCTCACACGCGGCCGGGCAGAAACGGATGGGCTCGGAGAGAAGGAAGGAAAGGAAGAAAGAAGGAAGGAAAGGAAGAAAGAAGGAAGGAAGGAAGGAAGGAAAGGAAGGAAGGAAGAAAGAACAAAGAACGAAACTGACCAATTAGGTAAGTAACTAAGTACCCAAGGACCTAAGTAAGTACCTAGCTAGCTAGAAGCCAGGCAAACAAACAAAAGATAAAAGCCGGCGAGGGCAAGAACCCAACAACACACACCTGAAAAAACCAACCGAGGAATGGCATGGGAAAACGAACCCCTCTGCACGTTCCAGATCTGAGCTGGCCAGCCGAGGCTGTCCTTTGGACCCAAAACATGTAGAAGTACAACGAGATCCCAGAAGCCATCTGAAAATATCGGAAACCCCCATCCAGCAAAAGTAAATGTTTAAGATAGAAACCTCAAGCCAGAACCCATCCACCCGCAAAAGTTCAATTGGCACTTGACATTGGAAACCAGCCATTGCGTCGCCGGGCTGGAGCCCTCTTAGTTTTGGCAGATTTGGCAAACTTCCTCTGACAATTCCTGTTTCATTGAACGAAGCAAAGCCCGCTCCATTTCGAAGAGGTCCACAATGGCATCCCGGAAGATGCCAACCCGCGGCACTGTGACCTCGAGGTCCAGGTGCTGAAACCCCAAGCTCCTCAGATACCCGGGCCGCTGGCTTTGCTCGCAAGGGCGCAACATAGAGATTCTCAAAATCCTAGATCCATGTTTGGCTGTGTGAAGGGAAAACGAGACCCTGCAGGAGGCTTGATCAGTTCAAAAGGACAGACACGCATAGGCAAAATGGACCTTTCAAAGCGCGGGCAACTGGCCTCTTGCTTCTCGCATGTCCAGGGATTTGCTCAAGACATTCGGCCTGATAGACCTTAACCCTGACCTCTCGCCTCCTCCCGTGAGGCGTTTTAAGGCTTGCCTATGGTACCCGTTTCGGGTTGTTGACGGGAACCCCCCCCCAAAAAAAAAATGGAAAAAACCGTATTCTTTTTAAGGGTTACCCTATGTTCGCACAAGCCCATTAAGGCCTGACAGGTTGGCTATAACTTCAAGACTTCGAGCGCAGGCAAGGCACTCCACCTGGTTCTTCAGCTGCTGCGCGCCTCCGGATGCCGCCACGATGCTGGTCAGCCCATTCATGAAGCGCATAGCCATCACCGACCTCGCACAAAGGCACGACACCACAAATTCTGCGTCATTCTCATGGTTCCCTTCATCAAAACCCTTGCGCTGGTGGTTTACATCCCGCAAGGGGTTCATGATTTGCCCTAGCAACTCCCAGTAGGAGGGTGCGTTGACCATTTCACAGAAAAAGACCTGCGGCTTGCGAAAGAGTGGGAGCAGCGCCTCAGCTTCGCATTGGTTTATTTTGCCGGGTTTGTTATAGTGGCTGAACTGGCTCTGGGAAGAGCTTGCCAGGTCCGGTTGGTTCATCTTTTGGGACCGGCTGTATCACGTCGCAGCTGGGCTTCAGGTTGCCAAAGAGAGGCAAAAGTCGGCCCAGGCACTTTCAACTCCTGAGGGAGGGAGAGAGAGAGAGAGAGAGAGGGAGTGCTCAACACTGCGTGGACACGGAAACCACGTATACATTTGCCGCTTTCGCGATGATTTTTCAGTTTCCAGATTTCTCTCGCAGTGATCCTTTCACCTTCGTTATGTTTCGCGGGCTCGTGTCCAGTGCGAAAGCCTGGGGCCCCGTCCGGGCCGTCTTGAAGAGGCTCTGCAAGCTGGGCGCCGCATCGAACACCGCCGCATAAATGGCTTCCCCCGCTGCGTCGCCTACGTCAGGCATCGATATTGCGAGCGAGCGATTTGCGGCACCTCTACGTACCCCTGGGCCTCCGCTACTGGAGGTTGAACCCTAAAGGTCTTTGAATCATTCATGTCAATTGCACACCCAAAATTGAGCACTGAGAAGTGACAAAGTTCCCATTACTTGCAAGGTCCCGTGCACAAATGCCGAGTCCGCTGGCAGCGAAAACACAACAAAAACAGTGAGTGATTTCCAACATGGCGACGGAAAGCCCACAATGTTGCTATTGAACCCTGTATTGGATTCGGAGAAAGGATCTTACACGATTGCTAAGTGCCGAAATGTGAACAAATCTTGGAGATCGGTTCTGCAAGCTCGAGGTCGCCCTATGCGTTCACTGATTCCAAAAGCGTGTGCGTGTGCGTGTGCGTGGGCACGTGTGAGTGTGCGTGCGCGTGCGCGTGTGCGTCTACCTGTGCATGTGGGTGTGGGCGTGGGTGTGGGTGTGTACGTGTTTGTGTGGGTGTGTGTGTGTCTTGTGTGCGTGTGTCTGTGTCCGTGTCCGTGTGTGCGTATCTGCTCCTCCGAGAAAGGCTTGAATTCAGGGTGGTGCGGATGTGCAAATGCCTGTCAATGTGGGTGAGGGTCTTTGCACATGTGCATCTCGTGTGCATGCGTGTGCGCGTGCGGGCTCTGTTGAGAGGGGGGCAGCTGATGGCCAGACCAAGCTGCGGCTCAGGTTTCAAGCCGCGGCACGTCCATTCTGCTGCGTAATGAAGGCGTTCCAAGCGCCCTGCGCTTCCGCAATGACTCCTTGCGGGAAGTAGGCCTAGCAATGATAGCACAGGACAGCGAGGTCTGAGACCTGACAAGCCTATGCAAAGCAAGCAAGCCGGTCAATTCTATCCAGAAACCAATGCAGGCCCAAAAGAGCCACACGTCAAATGCTGACGGGCACTTGCGACAAGTCTGACGAACCCTGGCCTCGTCAAAACTGATGTCGTGCACTTCCATGTACTTCTGGATGTACTTGTCTGACTCGATTTCAGCCTTCGGAATCCGCACTGTCCGCAAGCTCCTGTGCCAACCAACCTGCCTCCAGGCATAAGAATCCAGGCCTTTCCATGCAGGGTTTCCAGAGGGACAGCCCTTCAAAACAGAAAGCTATCCTTCACGCCCGGTTCCTTCCGAGCAGCTGTCAGCTCATTGGGGATCGAATCGTCTGCTCCAGGATCCGCTCCGTCTTCTCCTCCTGAGCTCTCCTCGTACTCCTCCTCCTGTGTGAGGGGTATTGGAAAGAGCCTCCCTTTCGCATCATCTAAGTTTCCGGGGAAAGGCTCTTGTAAGAAAATGAGCATAGGATAACTGCCTCGGGTTGAAAATTCCATCCAGGTTGTCAGCGCTTTATGACAAACGGTTTTGTCTGCCTCATCAGCATCCTCCGTCTCCCCGTGCTCATCACTGCGGTCGCTTTCCGACTGGCTTGTCATGGTGCGCGTGCGCCAATGGCTACTGCTTCAGAGGTCCGATTTGGGCCAAACAGCACTCCGCATGAAAGCATGAGGCAAATGCACTGCTGCCACATGCCGCCACGGTATGGTATGTATGTATCCTGCTGCCATGGAACAACTACGAAATCACCTTAACCCAGACTTCCGCAGAACGACTAGGGTAGTGGGACAGGTCGAGGGCAAGCCTCATAATATGCACCTTCAAGACTCCTTTTCTCCAGCAAGCTGTTCTCTTTGGTTCTTCAAGTTTGCACCCTTTTGGGCACGCCCTTTTGGGTATGCCCTTTGGGCGCGCTCACTATTCCATGGCAGATGGAAAATGCACGTAGGGCCTCCTGGACATCACTGTAGGTGTCACCACAGGCGCTAATTCCATACTTCTACTGAACAAAGCTTCTTGATAATGGCATGGCCGAGCACGTGCCCGGCATTGAGGAAAGTGGCAAACAAGCTAGGATGGGGCTCCGAAAAAGGTCACACAAAGGCCGACCTTTCGGCCTTTGGGTGCAACTATGACACCGAGCCACCTGACTGCAGGGCTTTGCGCCGAGCATGGGACCTTCTTTCCAGTGCACTGCTATGTAGAACCTATTCACCCTAAAGGAGAAAGACTTCAGGCAATTCACAGGAAGAAACGCCCACACTTCAGCCCGAAAAGAGTGCCACACGGCCAAATTCATTTGTGCAGCTTGGGCATGTTTTCGCCTCCGAAGCTTGCTGGTGACACGATGCCGGGCGCCTGGGCCTGCAGGGGAGCAACCGGCGAACCCTGGAAACCAACATGCATGACATGTGCCAGACAGTCATGTTCGATTGCTGTCTCTTGGTCCAAATGCTCTCTCTCGTTTTGGCTGCCAATCGCTCGCGCAGCATGAGCAAGAGCACATGTCTAAACTGACGAATAAAATGTCTTGCCAAACAACTCTCAGTGCAAAAGCATGGGGGATCCAAGAATGGAACTCGGTGCAACTTGGGGAACTGGGTGCCCTAAACGAAACACAGCCCTCTCTTCAGAAGTCCAAGCCCTTGGCACAGGCAACTCTGCTTCCATGCCAAGCCTTAGCAACCGCAATGCACCACCAAGTTCCAGCGACCTTGGCCCCGTGAGGCCAGTTCAGAGCCCCGCTCCATTGGGTTTCCAGTTCGAGGCCCGGCCGCGCCTAGACAGACTCATTCGAGGAATCACCGCCGCTGCTTGCCGACTGAGCCATAGATGAGCCGACGCCGCTCACGCCGCTCGCGCCACCCCCATGCTTCCGATCTGGCGGGCGCATGGACGTCAGAAAGCGAACATGGCTGGTCTGCTCATTGAGCTGCTACGCCACTAGGCCCACCCGTCTCACTTCCTATATTCATACACCCCCACCCTCCATTCTAGGCATTCCTTAGGAAAAGTTCGCGGAAGTCGGTCCCCTACATGTCTCCGCGGCTTCTCTCAATTCCTGCTACCATCAGGTGACGAAGGGGTTTCCAGCTCCTCAAACACAGCCTTCCCGACACGAAATCGAACTACGAATGCAATTCCACATTTCACCCCCTCTGAGCGTGGTTAAAAATGGAAAATGTGCTTAATGTGCAATGTGCACCTGGGCAATTCCTATAGCTCCACCCCCCTCTCATCCACTTGCAACTAGGGAGATCTCATTTCAGCAGGTGCAAGGAGGGCGAGCAGCAACACAAACGACTCGGCTGCATTCAATCGCCCGCATAGCTCACCAAAATCCAACTCCCGAAACCGGCATCTCGATCGCTGACAGGCCGCTGCCCTTTGCCAGGCTCTTGGTGGTGCGGATGATCAGTTTCTCCTCACTTGAGTCAAAAGGGCAGCCCTAGCAACTCTGCAAGCAAAGGCCGGCCCTCGAAGCGGCCTAAGGCTACAACGCAAAACCATGCCAATTTCAACTCGGTTGTTGCCCCAGGCCCGCCTAAGAAGCCTAAGAACAAACGGACGAACGGACGGCGCTTCCGGCAAGACTGTTGGCAACGCGATTCCCTAAAAAAAGGGATTCAAACATATCAGACGTGATGGTGCGGGGCATTTGCCTGGTGCATTGCCGGGCCCAATACATTTGGTGCCCCTCCTTACCGATAGTATACAGCAATTCTTTGAGGAAAAGCATGCCAAAAGGTCACATTGACATCCAGCTCTGGAGTTTGTACGGCCCGCGGGTATTGGGTAAATACCTTTGGGCCGAAGGGAACTCCGTAATACTCAAACTCTACCAACAGCTAGAAACCAACACGTCCCCGCCCAAGCCTGCGCCTGGTGACACTTGCCAACAGGAAACCGGCTTGGCCTTCCAGTAACATGAAACCTGACTGGGGGCCTTGCTTCGGACAACCCTGGTGCCAAGTGGGAGGGCAAACCCAGACGGGGCGCTAGCTTCTCGAACTTGTCCTCGCTCCCATAGTCACCTGGATCTAACATACCCTCTCAAAGAAATGAGCCTCTAAGCCAAACGAATGCGGCACTTGAAAGCCGACCCGCCCGATCCACGGAGCGGCGCGTACGTTCCCACCCCCCCGCCTTAGAACGATCCATTTCCTAATTATTTGGAGCAAAGGTTGGCAAGTTTTTCCGAGACACTTCTCTGAGCAAAATCTGTGCGAAAGTTCTCTGAGCAAGTTCTGTGAGGAAGATTTTCTGCGCAAGTTCTCTATATGCAAGTCCTCCATGTAGGCCAGTGCAACAGAAGCCAGCCGAAGAACCCTGCTCGATACTTTCGGGAGAAAGTACCAACTCCAGGAAAACAAGAGACACCCTAAACATGTCTTTGCCAATAGAACCCTCAACAACCACTCGGATTTGAAGGGTGCCCATTGCAATTAAGCCCCATGGAGTGACGTGCTTGGCAATTCTGCAATCCACTCCGCATCCACCCCCCTCCCTCCACCTCCCCCTTCCACCTCCCCACTTCCACCTCCCCACTTCCACCTCCCCACTTCCACCTCCCCACTTCCACCACCTCCCCACTCCACCCTTCCACCTCCATCCTTCCGCCTCCACCTCCTCCACCAATCCGCGCCTGGCTCCTCCGGCCAGGGCATGGACGGGGCGGTGGAGCCCCCATAGCGGCGGATCGACTCCGTGGCGGTGGGGTGCAAGCTTCCGAGCTCCAGCACCTGGACCCGCGCCCAGAAATGGGGGATCAATAGAACCACCCAAAAGATGGTGAGATTGTTGCCAAAAAAATGCAAACTGACCGCTTCCCTCACAACAAAAGGATGTTAGCAAGCAGACCGAGATGGTTGGTGGTCAAAACCATTGTCAATGTGACAGTTTCTCTAGGGGAAAGCACGTCAACACGTTCTTTAAACACACCATGGCACCCTAAGGGCCGGCTTAAACAGTTTGGTGGGAGATGGCCGAAGAAGTTGAATGGCCCTCGTCACCCCCGACCTGGACGCCCCCCGACACGCCCACGTCACCCTCGTTGAACTCCTGGAGGCGGCGCGGGAAACTGCTGGGAAACGGCTGGGCAGTGTCGTTTTTTTTACTTGCGCTCTCTCTCCAGGGTTCAAATTGGCTGTTGGTTTGGGAGGTTGGGGGGAGTTGGGAGCTTCGGGAGGTTTGGAGAGGCTTGGAGAGATTAACAGAGTTGTGGGGTCCGCCTTCTGAGGATTGCTTTGGCGCTGGCTGTGGCTTCAGATTAGCGCCGCCCGCCATCTTACGCGCGTCGTCCGTCAACTCGGGTTGAGCAACTTTTTTGTGATTTGGACTGCCAAGCCAAACCAACTGATCCAGCTCGATCAATCCCCTGATCCAAATTCATGCTGGGCAAACTAGGCATCACTTGTTCGTTCAGACAATGCAGCGAGGGTGGCTATCCAGAAGAGGCGGCTATAAACACATCATGCACGGTGGCCCCAAAGACCGAGCTTGGCTTGGCCCCCATCCCCGACCCAGAAAGAACCCATGGCGTCCAGATGTTGGCCCAAAGCCAATGATTCCAGAAATGTAAGCCAGCGCTTCTGGGGCATGACCTCCAGCTCTGCAACGGTGATTTGAACCTCGGAGAACGCACCTCACGCTTCCAGCGCAGATGGTGACTCCCATGATCACACAGAAACCGCCTAAAGGAAGTGATCGGTGTCCAAAAACTCAAGCATACTACCCTGGTATATGCCGTCAAAAACACCCGTGCAACCTTCATGTAGTCAGACCCTCCTTCCGTATGGGTTCAGAGCCAGGTGAAGCCCTTCAACCGAACAACCGAGTTGCCAGTCCGAGGCCCTCCCCAAGCTGAGTGCTGGGCACGGTTCAGACGCGCATAGCCGAGCATATCCTCGAACCCGTGCTGATAGGCTTGGTTCAGCTGTGCGATGAGCATGCTGAACAAGAATAGGGTGACAAAGATGCAGAAGCCGATGACGAATACCTCTTGGCTTGGCAACCGGCTGGCGATGCGTGTGCTGTTGGCCCTGCAGGTTCCCTTTGCCCAAGCACGTAGCCCCTGCCAGATACTGGTATGCTGGTGTCCCTGTGGCACAGGCTCTCTTCTAGTCACAAGGGGCTCTTCACACGGGGGAGCTCAATGCGAGCCGCGGTCTAAATTGCAGATCCCTTGCTGGACATGAGAAAATGAGTGAGTCCCTCGGCTTTTGCCAAACCTCACATGTGAGCAGTGCTGAAAACACATAATAGACGCTTGGTTCTACCAACATGGCTAAAAAGGTGTGTACATACATACACACGCATAAATATATGTATACATATAGGCCTTTATGTGGGTCCTATCAGGGAGAACCACCAAAAATTGCCCTTTAGGGTGCGCGAGACGCTCACGTGAGTTGGGGATCAGAGTTTCAGCCCAGCTGCCAGCAAGACCTCTTCATGCCGCAACTCGTCGAGCTTGCTGGTCGGGTAGAGACTCAGCGCCATCCTAGGAGCGGATGGGTGTGGTTCTTTTTTGGAGGGCCTTGCGAAACTTGTTTGGGGCTCCAAATTTGTCGACCACCAACCTGTTTGCTTGGTCGCACAAAAGGTCAGTCGGAGTCAAGCACAAACATGGGAAAAACCAGTTTTCCCAGCCCACGTGCAGGGAAGGTCATTGAATTGAGAATGTCAGAACGGCCCAGTGACCCTTTCGGGAGGGCGGTTGTTCCAGTGAACCAACATTCACCAGGGAGCCCTTTTCGGTTTGAAGTGTTTGACTCGAAGTCCTGGCGAAGCCAAAACAAACTCTGCTGCTAGGCATCTCCAACAGAGTCATGGTCCCAGCGCCCATGTCGCCGAAGTCCTGTCGAACTCGATCGCGGGACATCCGCGAGCGAGAGAGGGACCCAAGGCCGGCCCGGCCTCCACCGTGTGGTCCAGGGCCACCACGGAAGTGGTAGAGGCCAACAGGATGAAGGCAAGGGCCAGCAAGAAAAGACCCACCTGCCAAGCTCGGCTGGTGTGAAGCTCAGATTGCTTTGCCTATTTTGTAGGCTCGTCACATCAGCCATGATTAAGAAAAAAAAGTGGTTCCTGAAGTGTTTTGTCCGGAAGTGCTTTGTGAGTGCTCCCCAGCACCTCCCAAATTGACCCCACGCAAAAGAACCAAAACAGAGCTTGAAGTCTTGACCAAACTTGGGAGTTGCATGCTTTGGCTGTGGCATCTGTGGCCCTTTTAAGGTTTGCGTTGCGCAACTCGGGGCCAGGCCGCGCGCCTCCGACATGACGCGCTTGCACACCAGGATGAAGGCAGAGAGGCGCCTGCGCGGAGAACTCGAGGCTCTAAAGCCGAGGCTGCTTGCAAGCAAGAGTGGAAAAGAGAAAAGGGTTGTTGTATGAATGAAGGGTGCGTCTCTGACACCTGCAACACAGCAAGTAGACATCCATCGGCGTCAAGTTTGGTTTGCGTGCGGAATCTGGCCAATATTGGTTTAGGGCGCTGTGATTTCTCTAGCGGTAGGCCGCAGGCCTGATCATTGGGAGGTCATCCGGGTCCCGAACTAACAAAATCAACAGAGCCGTCCCACACTCGAAACCATCAGCTGGAGGCCAAGGACTTGCTGAGGCAAACGGTTACCGGCCTGTCAACTCACCAACAGGATGCCACGCTAAGAAGCTTGGGGGATCAGGCCATGAGCCACCCGCCAACTGACGAAAGGCTGCCAAGGCGCATGTGAAAAACGCTGAGAAGCAAGCACAAGCTCCAGTAGATCATCATCGCTACACCTCACGGGCAATTTGGAACCGCTTCCCCCAAGAGCTGGGCGCTGCCCCGCGGAAGATTGCAAGCCCGCATTGCGTAACTGGGATGGCGTCAAAAGTTGCGTGCTAACCCAACGGTGCGGATCAGCAAAAGCAAAAGAGCGCGCATCTTTTGCTGGGCCGACTTTGAAAGACACATCACTGACTCAGAGGACTCGGTAAATCAAAGCAACCCTACCTTTCGCAGCCATCACCAAATCTGGAACAAGGATTTCGGGTGCAACCTTTAGATCAGCTCAACGCCAACAGAAGCACCGGGCACATTCTTCTTCCAAAGTTGCAATGGGCTCCACTGACACTGCCTCCCCGACCGAGGTCCAAAGAAAATTGAGGGAGCCCAGCCCTGTCAGCCGAAGATCAGGAGAAGGTGGAGTAGACCCTCTTCCACTCCAGGCCCGCCGGACAGTTCACCGAAAAGAGTGGATAGCTCAAGTCCCCCAGGCACCAATACATGGGCTCCAGGGTGCACATCCTTACTCCAAGTGTTCTCCTGCCCCTTCAGCCGACATGGGGATTGGACACCTTTTGACCAAGATCATCCCCATCTGGGAGGTGCCTGAAAAACAAAAAGAAACACACACACACACACACACACACACACTTGAACTCCAAATGGAGAGTGCTAATCTTTCGAGTACAACTGATGAGTCTCGAGTACAACTGATGAGTCTCGAGTGGGTTCGGCTTGCAGTCACTTGGCTTCCGTCTAGCAGCGAACACGTTACCCGAAAGAACAAGAAGCACAAACAGCGCCGCAACCAAGGGGCCAAAAGGACTTTCAGAATCACTTGCAGGTACAGGAGTTTGCGTCCAAACTCCCTTCCGGCTCATTCTCACAGCTTCGTTGGCACGGCTAGAGAATGAGCTGCCGTGCCCCCTGCTTCCGAAAACGGCCCAAGGTGGTGACAGGGTATTCTGTCACTCCGCACACACACGCCCCTCAATGAGGGGCGAGGAGTCTCCTTTTCTGCAGGAAGATCACATGCTCAACTTCGTGTTCCTATCGTTGACCAAAATATCCACCGCGGCGAGGGGAACGCGAAACAGCCCTAAACCGCTCAGAAGACGGGAACGAGAGATCACCACGATGAGCATTGCGAGTGTCGCCATAGAGGACTGAAGCGAATTGCGAAGCAGTCGAGCGATCACCATCAGAAATAGGAGTGGCATAGGTGAACGTTTCCTCAACAGGAATGTCATCGGAATTCTGAACATCTCCAAGTGATTGATCATGGGAATGATGTGTAGTGAAGGACTCCCTTCAAAACAGAATGCGTTGGTATCCTTGATTCTGCCAGTCGCGAATGGTCCATGCCTGACCGTGTTCACCAGTACGCCCACTGGGATCAGTTACCCGCTGCCACTCCCGAAAAGAATTGTCTGGTAGATCAGGTACAGTGTCTCCGTGGTGCCACCGCTGAGGCTGTCCTGGAGTATAGATCCGCACCCACTCCTGATCCTGCCAGACCGAGTATTCGAGCCATGGGTGCAGCTTCGCATCCTCGATGTCCATGTCGAAGTAAGAGGCAGGGCGTATCGCGGGTTCAGATCCAGCTAGTAAAGAAACAGGCACCATGCACAACCATGCACAAGCATCAACCAAGCAAGGTAGTGCAAGTATGAAAACCACCCCTTTTTTTGTATTCTGCCCAACACGCGTGAGTCTAGTCATCATTTAGCTCGAAGATAGGTTTGACCTTCGCGGTGGTGCTGCCTGATGGATTCACAGGCCGGTATGGGTCAGAGACCCCAACAGTCTCCGGTGGTGCAATTCCACGAGATGCACGTACAGGTTGGTGTTGGTGGGAAGCGTGACGTGCGCGATCCGACAGTTGTTGAGAGATCCCCTCTTGGAGACGAGTCAGATCTTCAGTGGAGAAAGCCGCCGCATCCGAGGATCTAAGAATCGCTTCCAACATCTGCGGTGACATACTCAATGCCGCGGATTGCGTGGCCACGTTGTGGTGATCAGGAAAAGACATCGAATCAAAGTCATGACCAGCTTGAGGGGCAGCGACTCTCCGATAGCCCTCTGTAGCCCAGTCTCTTTTGTACCACATGCTGTCATTGGGCTGCGCACCGTCTTGATCCGGATTTGGGACATAGAACTCCTTCCACTCTCTGTATGTGTGAGGCGGAGGTGGAGCATCATGTTCTTCATGTGGAGTCCATGATCCCGGATGAAAGATTTTGACCCAATGGGCATCTGGTTGTTGAGGATCCGGACACCATTCCAGCCACGGCATGACAATTCAAACCCGGGAAGACAGATTGATAGGTGTACGGCTGCAGACAACAATTATTGCAAGAGACACAACAACAACCACGCAAGCAATCACTTTTGCAGCAATGCACGGCTCAGGTGTTGAAGTCCATCTCCTGAATCGAATTGAATTGAATAGACTCCCCAGGAAGACGAGGACGAGCATCAGCCACCATCTGAGTTTGAAGATGCCGACGAAGAGGTCAGTCCAGCGTACATGAGGTCCGGTGAGCCCGAAGCGAAAACTGGACGCGCAATGCTAGGGTGTGGACGACCCAGCCGTTGATATCCTCTGGTGACCCAGTCCCGATAATGCCAAGTATAGAAGGATGCATAAGAGACCGGCTGAGAAACAGCACCCATATTGGTGCCGCCCGTGCTCTCCCTCGGCCAATACACTTCGAAGTGGTATACTTTGCGCCACTCCCGATAGGTGGTTGAGTCCTCCGGGGCAGGCCCCAAGATGTTTTCGGCGACTGGATGCCACGGACCCAGTACATAGATCCGAATCCACTCAACGCTTGTGTTCGCGGGGCCATTGTGACGATGTCGTAGTCAAAGTAGTGTGGCAGGGCCCATCTTGCAGCGCCATACATTGTAGAATTGAACATATCAACCAGGCAAGCCGCTCGAAGTCATAAAGGAAAGCGGCGAACACATGGAGACGGAACGCACAACACAAAGCAAGACAACCCAACATGGAATCGCACTCAACACAGGGACAAGCGCGTCATTTTATCCGACATGCTACCCAAGTATCACTCCGAATCGTTCCAAGGATCATAGAATGGTGGTGGTGAAGGTTCCCGCCACGCCCCATCCGGAACAGATGAGTCCACCGAGGAATTAGCGTCTGCATTCACGAGCGTCGCAGATCCAATGGCTGGTACAGGAGGTCCAAGACGTTGATACCCTCGTGTTTGCCAGTCGCGGTACTCCCACACGTGGTAGGACACATACGAACTGGGCGTGACGATGGGGTCCACTGTTGTTCCTCCGGTGCTGTCTTCTGACCAGTACACTTGGAAGCGATATGACCTGCGCCACTCCCGATACGTGGAAGCGTAGATTGGGGCGTGCACTATAGCATCATTGGGAACGGGCCGCCACGTGCCCGGTGTGTAAATCCGAATCCATTCCACTCCTCTCACGATCTGGTACTCGAAATAGTGAGGATTCATAGCGGCAAGACAGGTTGTGGCTGAACGCACTCGAAAATCTGCGGCGAAGACACTAAAGCAATGACAACCACACACAGCTAGAGTGTTAACCGAGGCAATGCAAGGCAACTTTTCAAACTGAAAGTGAGACACAGCAGCGAGGTTTGTAATATACGACACCTATGCTTCACCGCCGCTGATGCCGTACACACCTGCAATGATAATGTCCTGGTCGTCTACGAGCACATGGAGAAAGACATTTCCGACCATGGCGTAGGAAGGCATGACAGTAATGCTTGCAATTTGCCGATGGGGACAGCGATGGACGGGTGGCTCGTTTGGAGGGAAACACGGTGAAGGGTCGCCGAGATCTCCGCGGTGCAGAAGCGGATGCTGTTCGAGAGCGTTTCGAGGAACGCCCAGGACTGCGTAGATCTTCATCACGGGAATGGTCAGTGCTGTAAATCGAGCGGCGTGTGCGCTGCGATTTCGATGTGGCAGGGCAGGATTGTCCTCGAGGAGCTGAGTTCGAGGGAGTACGCACTGAGGGCATAAACTGTGGGTGTAGAATCACCGGTGGTGGTGGCGGTGGGGGAGGCGGAGGTGGAAGAAGTATTGCAAATCTTGGTGGGGGCGGAGGTGACGTAGTCTGCCGAATTGGTCTGTCAAGCAAGGTACCAGGTCCGTGAAACTGTAACCACGTCGGCTGCGCTCCATGGGTCCGAGTAATGTATGTCTGCACGTCTTGTTCCGACATGATTTGAGCAGCTCAGCCATGCATTCAGTCCAAGTCAGCAGCAACACCCACAACAGCAAACAGTATTTCACTGGTCAAAATGTCAGGCAAGTGCAAGCAAGCAAAATTCATGTGATCAGCCATGACTACAATCCCAACCATCACAACAACCTGCAGCGCTCCCCGACCGCACCGCCACGCCCTGCGAGTTAGTCCTCCAGTGGTCAATGGCTCGTTTGATGCACGGCTTCCTAGCCGCGAGCCTCAAGTTGCTGATAGACCTTCCAGGCCTGCTTGACTTCCTCAATGGGCTTCTGAAGGAACCGAGCAATGGTTTTGTAGGTGGGCCTGGAATCCTTGTCTTTCTTCCGTCGAACCATCTCATCCAGCTCACCCTGTGTCCATGCCGTGAAAGGTTCAAGGTGCGCATTGCGAAGGGCAATGATGAATTCTTGTAGAAGTTCCCGAGGTCCATGAACCACCGTAGGAGACGGGCGGAACGACGATGCACCTAAATTGGACGGACTGAACCATCAGAATCCGAGTCAGGTGTCGTAGGCGTTGTCTGTCCTGGTTCGCGTCTGCTGTGTGGGGGCTGGGAAGCAAGAGGCCGTGGTGGTGGCAGGCGATCCAACATCGACTCAGGACGACGACCAGAATTGCTGTCAGCGGCATCCCGATGTGCCGCACGAGGCGGGGATAAGGCCGGTATATACCAGGTGGATGAAGTGTCCAGAGGTCGGGTTCGAATTCGAGTAGGCGAGCGGGATCGATCGGACGAAATGCGCTCTGTGATGATGCGAGGGCGCAGCCCGTGCCTGGAGTTCCGTGGTGCCCTGGGAGACACTCTAGTGTCCGACTGATGGCTTCGCTCGGTCATCAGGGCAAAGTTCAGGGTGTCCAGAGCTGTCGCTACTTGGGATGCAAGGACATTTAGTACCGCCACCAGGTTGTTCACAAACTCGACTGACAACTGCATGGCAACTGAACACACAGCAAGGTCAAATCAAGCAAGATAGGCTGCGGAACTGAAACGACATGATGCTAGCAAACATGCATGCGCCGAAGTACTGAGGTCCTTTTGCCGCTGGTGTTCCGTCAACGGTGATATGAGAGACCCGATGGTCGACACGCCGGCATGGCCTTGACTGCCGGCGGGTACTTCGGAGTGTAGGCGCGGCGGTGGGACGTGGGAACAGCGTCGTCAGGGCGGCCAGGGCTGCGAGACCGACGCCGATGAGGTTCCCGGTGTCTGGACCTTCTCCTCCGTCTGTGCTCCCAGGAAGTACTGACACTCACCGTGCGGACATGAG